CACCGAAGACCGTGCCGCCGCCCCATGCGATCAGCCACACTCCAGTCGCACACAACTCCCGCACACGGTTTCGTGGCCCCATAGGGAGATCCACCGAAGGCCCCAGTGCCGCCGCCCGCATGCGTCAGCCACACCCAATTCGGCACACCCCTCACACGTTTCGTGGCCCCATATGGAGCTCCACCAAAGGCCCCAGTGCTGTCGCCCGCATGCGTCAGCCACACCCAATTCGGCACACCCCTCACACGCTTTCGTGGCCCCATAGGGAGCTCCACCGAAGGCCGCAGTGCCGCCGCCAGCATGCGTCAGCCACATCCAAGTCGGCACACCCCTCACACGTTTCGTGGCCCCAACCCGCATGCGCCAGCCACACCCATTTCGGCACACCCCTCACACGTTTCGTGGCCCCATAGGGAGCTCCACCGAAGGCCCCAGTGCCACCGCTCGCATGCGTCCCGCACACCCATTTCGGCACCTCCACCAAACACAGCGTTTCGTGGCCCCACAGGGACCTCCACCGAAGGCCCCAGTGGTGCCGCCCGCATGCGTCACCCCCACCCCAACACAGCATTTCGTGGCCCCACAGGGAGCTCCACCGACGGCCCCAGTGGTGCCGCCCGCATGCGCCACCCCCACCCAGCACAGCGTTTCGTGGCCCCACAGGGAGCTCCACCGAAAGCGGCACCCGCAATGCGATATTCACAACTGCACATGGTTGGGTCCTTCGCCAGGATAATGTTTCTGGGGCCGCACACCATGGAAATGAACTTGTGCCAGAGTTGCAATTCGATTCCCTTTGTGGAGGATTTGCAGACTGGTTCCTTGTGTGGTGGATGTGCGCATCGATCCCAATTTAATTAGATTGACGAGCTCATTTGTTGTTGTCAGGACAGAGAGGGGACTTTCGGAACCACGTTTTTTTTGTTGGTCACCCGTTTTTTGTTTGATTATGTAGGTTCAGGGAAACCAGTTCCCACCTTCTCAAAATCAAATGTTGTCAACATACAAGCAACAGGTTTCCATTGACTTCTACTTGAACAAAATAATAACATGCTCCCGACCTTGGTTTTCCCTGTGCGTGCACAGCCACAACAAGGGTCGGAAACGCATTTCCTAATATTCTTTGAACGAAAATTCGGTGGACGCTTCCTGTTTTAGTATGAAAATCTTAAACCTTAGCTTCTGGGAACTGGTTTTCTCGGCGTCTGCAAAATCGAAACCGACGCGGGAAAAAAAACAAGCAAGAAACAGTTTCCGAGGCCTGCGAGCTTTGTTTCTGGGGCCGCACACCATAGACATCAATGTGTGCCAGATTTTCAGATTGATTACCTTCATGGAGGATTTGTAGGCTGATTCCTTTTGTGGTGGATGTACGCGTCGGTCTCCTGTATAACAGGTTCACGGCATGTTTTCTTGGGGCCGGAACGCACAATCTAGAGAGAGAGAGAGAGAGAGATTGGTAGAAAGAGAGAGAGAGAGAGAGAGAGAACAAGAGAGAGAGAGAGAGAGAACGAGAGAACGTGAGAGAGAGAGGGAGAGAGGGAATGAAAGAGAGAGAGAGAGAGAGAGGGAGCGGGAAATAGCAAGACATAGGTATTCCATAGAAAAAGAGTGATATGTGTGTGTGTGTGTGTGTGCGGGGGATGTCTTCGGGAGCAGTGGAGTTGTGAATTTCAAGTTCGGCAGGGTAAATGTGCGTTTCTGAGAAACGGATCGACTCGACCCCCCTTTTCGTATTGCAATCTAGATATCCATGCCAGCCCAACCGCATCGCCCCCCCCCGTCATCCTTTGAAATAAATACATCAATGTTCAGGAACCCCTTGCAAGATATGGGCCAGAATGCCCAAGCGCGCGTCGTCGCGCGCGCATGCCGAAATTTTTCAAACACCTTCGTTTTCGTAAGGAGTGCCCCGAACACGTATAAACACATGTTTTCGCAACACAAGGTTCCCCAAAAAGCGTGCGCTCGCGCTCTTGCGTTTTTTTGTTTTCTTATATACATATAACGGCGCACCGGGTCCGGGGGCCCGGGGCCGGGACCTCGACCGCAAATGTGCACCCCGGGGGGCCCGGAGGCTCGTCGGGGCTTGCCGGAGGCCTCCCCGGTCAGACAAGACGGCCCCAGAAACGCCCAAGACGGCCCAAGAAACTTCCAAGAGGCCTCCAAGAGGGCTCCGAGATGCTGAAGATGGCCTCCAGACGTCCAAGGACGCCCCCCAAGACGCCCCAAGAAGCCTCCAACATGCGTCCCAAGAGGGCCCCTAGACGCAAAAATTGGCCCATTCCCTTCGTAAAACGTACATTTTTCACAAAGTTGCCTTTTGGGCTTTCCGACATTACAGGACGGCCCAAGAGGCGCCCAAGACCGCCCCAAGACGGCCCAAGAAGCTTTCCCAGAGGGCCCCAGGACAGCCCAAGAGGGCCCCAAGACGGCCCAAGAGGCGCCAAGATGGCCCAAGAGGGCCCCAAGACGGGCCCAAGAGGGGGCCCAGAGGGGGACCACGAACCGCAAGCTCGAGCCTTCCGCCCCAACAGGCCGCCAGGAGGCCCCCAGGAGGCCCCTCAAGAGGCCCCAGGAGACCCCAGACGTCCAAGGACGCCCCCAAGAGGCCCAAGAAGCCTCCAACATGCGTCCCAAGAGGGCCCCTAGACGCAAGAATTGGCCCATTCCCTTCGTAAAACGTACATTTTTAACAAAGTCGCCTTTTGGGCTTTCCGACGTTACAGGACGGCCCAAGAGGCGCCCAAGACCGCCCCAAGACGGCCCAAGAAGCTTCCAAGAGGGCCCCAGGACAGCCCAAGAGGGCCCCAAGACGGCCCAAGAGGCGCCCAAGATGGCCCAAGAGGGCCCCAAGACGGGCCCAAGAGGGGGCCCAGAGGGGGACCACGAACCGCAAGCTCGAGCCTTCCGCCCCAAGAGGCCGCCAGGAGGCCCCCAGGAGGCCCCTCAAGAGGCCCCAGGAGACCCCAGACGTCCAAGGACGCCCCCAAGAGGCCCCAAGAAGCCTCCAACATGCGTCCCAAGAGGGCCCCTAGACGCAAAAATTGGCCCATTCCCTTCGTAAAACGTACATTTTCAACAAAGTTGTCTTTTGGGCTTTCCGACGTTACAGGACGGCCCAAGAGGCGCCCAAGACCGCCCCAAGACGGCCCAAGAAGCTTCCAAGAGGGCCCCAGGACAGCCCAAGAGGGCCCCAAGACGGCCCAAGAGGCGCCCAAGATGGCCCAAGAGGGCCCCAAGACGGGCCCAAGAGGGGGCCCAGAGGGGGACCACGAACCGCAAGCTCGAGCCTTCCGCCCCAAGAGGCCGCCAGGAGGCCCCCAGGAGGCCCCTCAAGAGGCCCCAGGAGACCCCCAAGAGGCCAAGAGGGCCCCAGGACAGCCCAAGAGGGCCCCAAGACGGCCCAAGAGGCGCCCAAGATGGCCCAAGAGGGCCCCAAGACGGGCCCAAGAGGGGGCCCAGAGGGGGACCACGAACCGCAAGCTCGAGCCTTCCGCCCCAAGAGGCCGCCAGGAGGCCCCCAGGAGGCCCCTCAAGAGGCCCCAGGAGACCCCAGACGTCCAAGGACGCCCCCACGACGCTTCGCGTCACCAATTTCTTCTCACAACGGTTCCTGGGTCTGTGACTCGACAGAACCTAAGCGCGCGCGAAGCGCGCGCGTGGTTCTAGTTACATATATATATATATTTGTTTCTCTCTCCCTCTCTCTCTCTCTCTCTCTCTCTCTCTTCTAACTTTTATATATTTATAATTTATATATATAATTTATAAACGAATGCCATAGGTTTCGTCTCAACATGTTCAGAAACTGCTACCAAAAGTGGCTTCGCGCGCGCATGTCGAAATCGTTCGAACGCCCTTGCACGCGTGCCGTCGCGAGAATCCTTTGCAACATATGGGGCGAAGTGCACGCGCGCGCGTCGTCGCGCGCGCATGCCGCAATCCTTGAACAAAAACCTTCCGTTTCGTGGCGATTTCAACACCGAATGTCCCAAACACATTCAAGCACACATGGATTCGCAGCATCAGTTTTCAAAAGCTTGCGCGCGCTTTTGCGATTACTTACGGAGCACAGTTTTTTCCAACATTTTCACGGGATTCTGCCAAACGGGCTTTTTGGCGCCGCATTCCGACATCATTCGCACGCCGTTGCGCGCGTGTTGGGGGGGCACGGCCCGTGTCAAATTACAATATATGCGGGCGACTCTCCCGCGTCGGCCGCGCGCGCATGGCGAATCCTTTCCAAAACGTTCATCGCCGACGCGAAGACGCCGTCATCGTCGCCGGCGTGATCAGCATCGGCGCCCGCACTGGTCGTGCATTCGTCGGTGCGAACATCGTCACCAGCAACGCTAGTATCATCATAGTGTCTACTGCTGTCGGCGTTGCCATCATACCGCGCCCGCCCAAGTCGCCGACTCGCAGTGAAGTGCCCCCTGGGATGCGCCCAGCGGTCAGCGCCACCGCCGCCGCGTCGGTGGCGCCAAACTAGCTGGCCGCTGCGCGCGCGTGCTAAGGTCGGCGCGGCCGCACAGATGCACCAGCCAACGCTAAGCATGCATCGCAATCGCCACCGCATGGTTTTGCAAACCAAATTGCGGGTGGGTGGGTGGGGGGTTTGCAAGAGCAGGGGGTGTGCCAATTCGTTTGTAAAAAAAATCAATTACACCACATACATTGCACCACATACTATGCACATGGTATATTCCACAACGTACTTTCCACAAACTAGTTTTTGCACCGCGTATACTGTTCCACGTATACTGCCCGCATAGAGTGCACCACATATTTTGATCCACGTGTATTGCAAAACAAACATCGCAAACATATGTTGCCCAATGCATACTGTGTGGGTCTTCATTGGTTAACACGTACATGTGTCAACACTCATATTTGTCGATATGGGGTGCATCCATGCATCATGTATGATGTACAGGTGTATGTGTACGTGCCCCGTCTCTTCTCTCCATTCTCCCATAACCTTTTCTCCCGCCGAGGTCTGCTGGGCGGCATGGGGGGCCTGGGCGCGGAGGAGCCACTGCTGTGCCAGCCTCGCCCCCCGCGAGCGGGGGACGGCCCCTTTTTTGGTTCCCCGCCTCTTCTGGGTTTCCGTTTTTTTGCCCTCCCCGTGTTCACCAGGCCACCTAGCGTCAAGTCTTTCACGTGCTGAGCGCCTTTCCCGCTCTGTGCCCCCCCTCTCTCCGCGGCCGTTTCTCCGTGTTTTCCTTGCTCCTTCGATGATCATTCGCCATCTCGCAGGCCGACCTCGGCCTTCCCGCGCCGTGCGACCGCTGGCGCTGCGACCGAGAAGTGTCCACCAGGCCACGGCCGGGGCCGCGCCCATGTGTCCTCAGGTGGGCCCGGACGGCTGTTCGCAGCGGCCGCCGTTCGTCCGTTCGCTCGTTGTGCCCACCTGTCTTGCCTGCTGATCCGGGGCGCTTCACGGCCCGGCACCGCCCGCCCCAGGCAGAGCGCCGCCACGGGCGGAGGTGAATCCGAGGGCGCCCCCCGTGTTTCGAAGAATCATAATGCCACAAGCATGCGCTGTGAAAATTATTCACGCTTCGCGTCTCCCCACCAGTCTATTCAGAAGCCCTGCCCATGAGAGCTGACGGAGAAAAGGACGAATAAACACAAATAGTTTATGTGATTTCCAGAGTTGCTATCTTGAGCTTATTTAGCGTTTTCAGGGAACATCTGCCAAACATAATATTACGGTTTCTTTGCGTCTTCTTTTTTGTGTATATATATGGGCGTACGTATGTGTGTATACACGTGTATACATACACGTGTACACACATACATATATGTATATGTATTTGTATATATATATGTATATGTATATGTATATGTATATGTATATGAATATGTTTGTGTACATGTATATGTATATGTATAGGTATATGTATATGTATATGTATAGGTATATGTATAGGCATAGGTCTAGGTATATGTATGTATGTATGCATGCATGTATGCATGCATGCATGTATGTGTATGTATGTATGTATGCATGCATGCATGTATGTATGTATGTATGTATGTATGTATGTATGTATGTATATATATATATACACATACATACATACACATGCTTTTGTTATCTATATTTTTATAATTCCGGGGGTGCGGACCCCCCCCCCCGAAACGGGACCCCCCAGATCCGTGCCACGGGGGCGGCCGAAAATCCTTTCCAAGGCGTGCACGCAGGCGGGCGGCAGTGCCAAATCGGTCGGCGCAAGCCCACAGAGACACCCAAGACAGTCCAGGATAGCACCCGGGTAGCCTTGAAGACCCTCCGCGAGAGCCCCAAGACCGTGCTCAAAGGGGGCCCGAGAGAACAAAATCATTGAATTTCCATTGGTTTTTCAATGTTTTTAGCGTCCTCGCTTTTTCGGGTTTCCAACGCTCCCGGACCGCCCAAGAAGCTCCCAAAACCGTTCCAACACGGCCCACGAAGCTCCCAGAGCGCGCTGAGAGCGCCCCAAGACGGTCCAAGACGCGCCCGAGATGGCCCATGAACGCTCCAAGACGGCCCAAAAGGGGGCCCCAGGGGGGACTACGAACTGAAAATACGAGCCTCCCGCCTCGAGAAGGCCCGAGGAGGCCCCAAGAGAGCTCCACAGGGCCTCGGGAAGCCCCCCAAGTAGCTCCGGTGAGGCTCCAAAAACATCCCACATTGTTACTTTTCCATTGGCTTTTCAATGTTTTCAGCGTCCTCGCTTTTTCGGGTGTCCGACGCTCCAAGACCGCCCAAGAAGCTCCCCAAACCGCCCCACAACGGCCCAAGAGGCTCCCAGAGCGCTCTGAGAAAGCCCCAAGACGGCCCAAGACGCGTCCGAGATGGCCCACGAACGTTCCAAGACGGCCCAAAGAGGAACCCTGGGGGGGACCACGATCTGAAAATACGAGCCTCCCGCCCCGAAAGAGCCCAAGGAAGCCCCAAGAGAGCTCCAAAGGGCCTCGGGAGGCCCCCTAAGACGTTTCGGTGAGGCTCCACAAACATTCACAAATGTTACTTTCCCAGTAGTTTTTCAATGTTCTCAGCGTCCTCGCTTTTTCGGGTTCCCCACGTTCCAAGACCGCCCAAGAAGCCTCCAAAACCGCTCCACAACGGCCCAAGGGGCTCCCAGAGCGTCCTGAAAAGCCCCAAGACGGTCCAAGACGCGCCCCAAGACGGTCCAAGACGGCCCACGAACGCTCCCAGACGGCCCAGAGAAGGGCCCCAGGGAGGACCAGATAACTGAAAATACGAGCCTCCAGCCCCGAAAGGGCCCAAGGAGGCCCCAAGAGAGCTCCAAAGAGCTTCGAGGGGCTCCCTGGGAAGCTCCGGCGAAGCTCCAAAAAGCTTCCAAAGTGTTAATTTTCCATTGGCTTAAGCGGAGGAGGAGACGGAGGAGGAGGAGGAGGAGAAGGAGAAGAAGGCAGAGAAAGAAGGATAACGAGGAGGAGGAAGAGGATGAGGAGGAGGAGGAGGCGGAGGAGGAGGTGGAGGAGGGGAAGCAGGAGGAGGAGGAGGAGGAGGAGGAGGAGGAAGAGGCCACAACCCCGGGTTCGCAACCATTTTTGTGGAAATTCCGTTGTCAACCCAGGATTCCAGCAGATTTCCAGTCACTCCGCAGAATTTGCGTTAATCAGTGCATCCGTAGCCTCGGGCTCAGTGCGGGCGACAGTTGCAACATGCCTCGTCATAAGGAGAATGTTTTTACGTGCGCCGACTGTTGCGAAATTTTGCCAGCTGATGCCTTCTCCAAAACCCAGCTGCACCAATCCAACCGGGCCTCTGCGGCCTCCAACTCGCAGTTTTGGCCCGTCCCAGGTTGATTGCCCCCCTTTCTGCTCTTCCTGCGCTTCTCCGAAGTGCGAACCAGCGGACCGCGGCTAAAATAGAGAAAAGGATGGCACCACGGGTCAACCATTCCAAAGCTTCAAGGAACAAGGTGCATGGCGCGAAGCGCCAATGCAGCCTTGTGTGTATATATATATATATACATCAGTGGTTCAACATAAGTATGTGCATCATTGTGTTTACGACGGCGGAGACTGCAGCGACGAGAACGGGATTGGATGACGTTTGAGTGAGTTTGTGTTCTTTTCGGATGTGTGTTTGGGTTTCTTGGTTGATGAGTTTTTGAAGGGATGAGAGGCTGGGGAGGAGGAGAAGGAGGGGGATGATCATATGTTATGTTTCACCGAGGAGGAGGAGGTGGAAGAGGAAGAGGAAGAGGATGATGCTGATGATGATGATGATGATGATGATGAGGAGGAGGAGGAGGAGGAGGAGGAGGAGGGGGGGGAGGAGGAGGAGGAGGAGGAAGAGGAGGAGGAGGAGGAGAGGGAGGAGGAGTATCATTTCTTGCTCAAAAGACGGGGGGATCCTCTTGTTTTTTTGGGGGGGGGGCCCTCCAGGGGCCCCCTGGGGGCCCTTTTGGGGGCTTTCCGCGAGCCCTGGGGAGCCTCTTGGGGCCATTGTGGAGGGCGTCGGTGGAAAAGAGATGGGCCCAAACGTCTGTTCCCCCCTGGGCCTCGAAATCGCTCCGCGGGGCGCTCTTGGGTTGCATTTTGGGCGATCTTGGGCGCTCTGGGGGCCGTCTTGGAGGCCTTTTGGGCCCATTTTGGATCACTGTTGTGCCATATTGGGGCAATCTTGAGGCCCCCAAAGCGCATCGGAATGATACTGCGATTTTTTTTTCCACACAAAAAAAAAGCCTGTAGGGGCGGTCCTGAATGGGGGTTCTGAGAACACTTCGATCCTTCTTGTGGCCCTCGTCGGGTCTCTCGGACTTATGTTGGAAGCTATCTTGAACCATCTTCGGCTATCTTGAGCCGCCTTGAGGGCTATCTTGGAGCATCGCAGGCCCTCTAGGCGCCATCTTTGGCCATGTTGGGCGCCCTGACCGATCGAGCCCCTCCCCAAAAAACCTCAGGGAAGGCATGGGGGAGGGTATCCCTTCCCTAAGGGAAGATGGATTTTGGAAGAGGAAAGCAGGAACTCGCTCGACCACCTTAGCCTAAAGGGCTGGTGGGATTCTGAGCCACAGCCGATTGTTCAGAATTCTGGCCTGCAGGGACAGGGTGCCCCGGGGCGGGAGGGAGGGCGCCGCATCGGAGAGGACCCCGAGATGCTCGAGGCGCTGCTGGCGCAGCTGGGCGCGCCTGGTGGCCCGGTCGGACTGGACAGCGGCTCTCCACCGCCTCCGCTGTCTTGAGGCTCGAAGATGGCTGTAATTTTCGGCGGCGGACCTTGGGGGGAGTGAGAGGGGGCAGGCCTTCTCAGAAGGCGGCGGGGCTTCTCAGGTTCCTTCGCGCCTTTGAGAGAGGCCGTCTGCGTCGTCGGAGAACGCCCGGGAAGCTTCTCAGAAGGCTGGGGGCCTTCTGAGCCTTGTGGGAAGCCCTGCCCCCTCTGCCTTCGCCACTCGGCGCACCGCCAAACTTCGGGGGGGAAGCAACACACAGCTACAATCAAAATGGGAACATATGGGAAGTGGGGGGGGAGACGAAAACCCAGAAAGTATGGGACAATACGTGGAATCCTGGGATCTGTGTCTATTTGTTGGTGTGTCTCTGGGCCCCTTTACAACTTTGCATGCCTGCATTGCTTTTGGGCCTCGCTCTCTGGGCACCTCCCGGGGGCTTCTGCAGCCCGCAAGCGGGGCCGCGTGGGCGTTGGCGGGCGCGCGGCCCGCGTGAGCGCCCCGTTTCTCTGCGCGATGTGCCGCACTTGCAGCCCGCTGGAGCCTTCCCATCCTTCCCCTCCTGTCACCCCTCCTTCCTGTCTCTCCGCATTTTTCCATCGTCTTTAGCCCCGCCTCTGGCCCACACTGCCCGCCTCTCGCCTTCGACCTGTCCTACACGTTTTCTTGCACTCGCTGTTTCATCGTACGACGTCGTCTTTGTTCAGGAGGGGAAGAAACACAGACACAAAATCGTCGACTCCCAGGAAAATATGGGAAAATATGGGGAGTGTGGGAGGGGAAGACGAAAATCCAGAAAGTATGGGGAATCCTGGGATGTGTGTCCCAGGGCTCATTGCAGCCCGCCAGAGCCATCGCGTACGGCCGCTGCGTTTTCTCGCGTGAGGCCCAATCTCTTTCCGTCGCTCGTGATCGGTGGCGTGCGCAAGCGGGTTGGGCGTGTGTGTGTGTGTGTGTGTGTGTGTGTGTGTGTGTGTGTGTGTGTGTGTCTGGCCTCCAAGAAGGCAGGGGGTCTTCTCGGTAGCCCTCCTCTGCCCTCGGAGAAACATTTTTTCATCCCTCCTACCTCGCCCGCAAACTGTTGTAGGAACCCGAGCACATCATCTACCAATCCACGACCCCTGATGGCGCCGTAGACCTGCGCGGCGACTCCGGGTATCGGAAGCTCAACAGTGAAGAAAACAAGGATACCAATTTCTACGGCCTTCGAGGATGCAGCCTGCTACATCGTGGAAGCCATGTAGTAAGGAGGACGTGGTGCACAGCTTTTGCAAACCTCATCGTCTTCAAGCCAGATCCAGCTACGCCGCCGAAGCGCGTGCCGCCGCTCGCAGTCTGGGTGATTGTTGCCCCACTTTGGTAATGTTGCACGTGTTCATTAAAGGGCGCATGTTTCCCTCAGAGCTCAAGCGCCTCCGTGAGAATTCGGTGTTTTTTTGTATTTGAGTATCTCCCGCGATTAATGCCGAATTAGTGTACGAGTTCTTTTCCAGCAGAGATCTGAAAATACTTGCGGAGAAGATATCGTTGGGCATAACAGCTGGATGGAGAATTCTTCGGTCTCGGCATCGTCGATAACGCGCAGTAGTGCGACGCCCGCGACATGACGGCGGATGGTCACGCAAAGGGCCACTTAAACCGCGACCTGTTTCGACGCGTCATGTCCTACACGCACTAAAAGCAATCGTACGCGCCGCATCGAGGCAAGCAGCTTCCAATCGCCGACAGATGCCCGCTGTGGCTGCTCATGCATCTTAGTAGATCCTCGAGATCTGGTGATTCATTCAGCTGCAGCCATTCTGTGCACAATGATGGTGGGGGGCCTGTGACGGCCCCGTGCAGAGCTTTCGCGGGCCCACGATTGCTCACAAGTGAGCGCGTTTCCGCGTTCCTTTTGCACTTTGCTGACGCGGAATCGCGACCGAACTCGTTGTGCCTTGTTGCCGCGATATCGCGACCTCATCCTAAGTTCTCTGCGCTGATTTTGGGATTCGCCCTCACCGGCTCGTTCTTAGGCTTTCAGGACCGACCCTTATGCAGCTCGCCTCTGCCCATTACACTTTGGTGCTAAGCAGCTGAGTTCATGGAAGCATGACCTAGTCCCACGTGCCCTTGTTTTTATGCGCTGCGTCGGTGGCCGAAGATTTCGACTACGGGTCTGTCTGCTTAAGTTAAGCGCTGTTCTGGACCTACATGCAAGGTGGCGACGGCAGAGCATCGCCCCCCCCCCCACTTCGGCTTTGAGGGAGTGCCCCGACAGCATCTTACATATCGCTCGACCGCCGCCGTCTTGGTTCAAGGCGGCGCCGCCCTATCTGCCCACGTGGCTGGCTCCTCCTGCTGCGTACTCTTTGCGGCGCCTGGGAGTACGAGACGCTTTTGTGCGTTCCTATCACCATCCCGAAATGTGACCAACACCTCGTGCAATTATCCCTACATGAGATGTCAACTCTCGTTGGAGCTGGACCATATCGGCTGTCTCGAGGCATCTTGGGACCTTCTTGGGGCTATCTTGGGGCCACGTCGCCGTACTGGAGGCATCTTGGAGGCCATCTTGGGCCATTTTGGCCGTCTTGGAGCCGATGGGGCCAACGGGGGCCGACATTTGGGAACTTTGCGGGTGGCTGGCGGGCTGGGCCGAGAACCCACGGGGAGTTTTTGGGAACATGGAAAAATTGCCAAACGTTTGACACGCCGTGTACCTTTGTGGCAAGACCTTTGGGGGCGGCGGATTTTGTGGTCTTCGGCCCTTTCCGCCACCGTGCCCGGGTTGTCGGCCAGAGGCCCCTTGGATGCCCGTGGAGATCTATTGGGGGACCTTTTCGGAAGCCTTTCGCAGGCGGTTTTAAAGGGGGGTGTTTGGGGGCGTATCGGGGACCTTTTGGGAGCCTCTTGGGGCCTGATTTGGGTTTCTCGGGGCCTCGTGGAAACTTCTTGCGGCCGCTTGGGGGCACCTCGGCGGTTTCTGCGGGGATTGTTGGGCCACTTTTGTGCGGAGGGCTCAACGCGTAATTTAGCGCTCCCCTTCTTGGGCCCCTCTTGGGGTTGTCTTGGGGGCCTCTTGGGTTGTGTGGGTTGGGAGATTTTGGGCGCCTCTTGGGCCGTTTTGGACGACCTGAACACCAAAAAGGCGGTAATGCTGCAACTATGTAGAAACCAATGGACTTCGACGATTTTTGCTTGTTGGGCCGCCCTGTCAGGGCCTCCAAGACAGCCCCTCCAGGATGGTCGCCAGGGCTATCTTAGGCCATGTTAGACGTGCATGTCCCGAGCAATGCGCTCGTGGCCTCTGGAAAAGTCACGCGGGGACCCCCCCAGGAGCGCCCACGAGCGCCCGGGAGTGCCCGCAACTCCAGGCTTCAGGTCCCTGAACTAAAATGTGCAGCATTTCAACACGGGGAGTCCTCAAGATCCCGAGGGAACTCCAATTCGTGTCTCAGGGCACGGTGGCGGATGCACGCAAAGCGTCTCAAGGTCGGGCGTTCGTCCAAGGATGTGCCGACGTTCGTCCGTGGGATCTCCTTTTAGTTCGTGGTTCGTGGTTCGGCGGCGTAGTTTCGTGATGATGCCACGCCGCGATGGGGTCCATTCCGCTCCGTTCCCATCCTCCTTCTGGCTCCTTCTCCTCCTCCCCCCCTCCGGGTTCGCCCACCCCCCCCGAGGTGGCCTGGCCGGCGGCGCGAGGGGATCGCGACCGCCGCCGCCGCCGCGGGACCTGGGGCCGACGCGCGAGATAGGCGCGGCCCGGGCGCGGCGGCCCGGCGCTCGTGGGTTTCGTGGAGTTCTCGAGGATCAGGGGTCGCCGTTGTGGTTTTCGGAGACGACAGCGAGATCTATTATAGTTTGTGGTTCGAGGGTCGAGGGTCGCGGTTGTGGTTTTCGAGGCGCAAGGCCAGAGGTTTTCGAGGTCTTCGTGGATCGAGGACCGCGGTTCGTGAGGATCAAGGCTCGAGGTTCTCGGGCTTTTTGGGCGTCGAGGTTGCCGTAAAACGAGACTCGAGGTTTAATTACGGGATTTTTCAAGGGTGCAGATTCTTGTGGATCGAGGGTCGATCGATGCCTTTCCAGATTTTCGAGGATCGAGGTTTTGGAAGATCGAGTGGCCGGATCGAGAGTCGAGGCTTTCGGATGTCTTGCTTTTGTATGCCTTCCAGTAGCATCTGGACGATTCTGGGTTTTTTTTGCGACCTCCAGAGATCCTGGAGGCCTGCTGGAGGCCGTCGTCGTCGCCGCCGTTATGCCTCCATGTAGAGGTGAGATTCCTGAGAGCATAGGGTATTGTATTTTCCGCTGCCAGAAACCTGCGCAGAATGAAGAGCAGGGTCCTCTGGGGGGAGCAGTATTTCTGGGGGAAGCCCCCAGGGCCAGAGTTCGTGCTCGCCAGGACGCCTCTCCTTCATGCCAGGCCATCTTCGCCGCTGCCGCCGTCATTGTTGTCGTCGTCGCGGTCTTCGTCGCTGTCCTCACCCTCTCAGACATGGCGCCAGGCCGAAAAGTCGTCCGCTGCCTTTGAACTCACATGACCGTACGCTGTGGAGATGGAGACGGGACTGCGAGAGGAGAGCGCAGTAAAACGATCGGATGAGGCGGAGGAGGAGGAGGAGACTTACGATGAGGATGACGTCGACGAGCCGTGGGTAGTAATAGTAGTACCCGTACTCGTAGGAGTACCCGTATTAGTAGCATGGTCGTCTTAATTGTGTTAGTCTCGATTCCTTTATTCGTAGTTTTAAAGTGGAGTTTCTTTCTTCCAGTTCCACAAGTTCTCAAGTGAGTTCCGAGCTCTCTTTCCCAGTCTTCCAAATGGTATGAACATGATAGGCCCGGCGCGGCAGCCCTGCTCAAGGAGCTGACTGGCGCCGCGTCTGACCCTCCCTTCCCCCCCTCCCCTCGCCCACCCCTGCTCCGAAAATGATGCTGGCTAAAGGCGGGCGCAAATGGGGCTTGGGCGCACCCTGCTGGCCCAGCCCCAGTCTGCGTTCTGACCTCCCCATGTGCCACCTGCCCGTCTTTTCCTCTCGGCGAATGTCAAGCTCCTTTTCAGGCCATCCGTGATCGCGGCGCAGACGCCCTGCACTTGCTGTGACCTTTGCTCTCTGAATTCTTTGCCCTGCGTCGATCCATCGATTGGAGTAGGGACTCGTTCTTTGACCCTGAGGCCCAATCCACATCCTCCTTTTTTCTTCTTCTTCTTCTTCTTATCTTCCAAGTGGCAAGCAGACCAGAAATCTTTGTCGCTGCGCCGGTGTGGGATGCGTGAGATGGACAGCCGAGAATCTGTCTGTGGGCGTCCAGTCCAGACCTGGCCGAAAGCTGCGCCCTTGTGGGCGGTCCACCAGCCCAATCTGACAGCAAGCAGGGTCGCTGATTTTTTTCCCCACATCCGTAGCGGGGTTCCTGTTTTCTCTCCCCCCCCCCGCATAGGATCTCCTCCTCCTCCTCCTCCTATTCCTTCTACTCCTCCTTCTCCTCCTCCTCCTCCTCCTCCTCCTCCTCCTCCTCCTCCTCCTCCTCCTCCTCTCTCTCTCTCTCTCTCTCTCCTCCTCTTCACTCATCATCATCATCAGCATCATCATCAGCAGCATCAGCATCATCATCATACTCACCATCAGCATCATCATCATCGTCATCGTCGTCATCATCATACTCGTCGTCGTCATTATCATCACCATCATCATCATCGTCATCAGCATCAGTATCATCATCGTCGTCATCATCATCATCGTTGTCGTCATCATCGTCGTCATTATCATTATCACCTTGATCATCATATCCATCATCGTCAGCAGCATCATCATGGAGGAGAAGGCTGTGCCATCACCGTCGAATCGGCTGCGGGGGGGCGCGACAGGCTGCAGATGCGGCTACAGTTGCGGCACCACCAGTGCCCTGGACAAACACCTCGACAAGTTCAGATGCGAATGCGGATGAGGAGGAGGAGAAGGAGGAGGAGGAGGAGGAGGAGCAGGAGGAGCAGGAGGAGCAGGAGGAGGAAGATGAGGAGCCAGGAGAGGAGGAGGATGAGGAGGAGGATGAGAAGGAGGATGGGGATGAGAATGAGGCTGAGGATGATGATGATGATGATGATGATGATGATGATGATGATGATGATGATGATGATGATGATGATGATGATGATGATGATGATGATGATGATGATGATGATAATGATGCTGATGACGATGATGATAATGCTGATTGTGCTACTGATGCTGATGATGCTGCTGATGGTGCTGATGATGGTGATGATGATGGTGATGATGGTATGATGATGAGTATGATGATGATAGTGATGGTGATGAAGACGACGAGTATGATGATAATGATGACGACGATGACGATGATGATGATGAGGATGATGATAATGCTGATGATGATGCTGATAATGCTGATGGAGATGCTGATGATGCTGATGCTGATGATGCTGCTGATGATGACGATGATGATGATGATGATGATGATGATGGTGGTGATGCTGCTGATGATGATGCTGATGGTGATGGTGATGGTGATGGTGATGGTGATGATGATGATGATGATGATGCTGATGCGGATGCTGATGGTGGTGATTATGATGATGATGATGCTGATGATGATGATGATGCTGATGATGATGATGATGATGATGCTGCTGATGATGATGCTGATGCTGGTGCTGCTGCTGGTGATAATGATGAGGAGGAGGAGGAGGAATAGGAGTAGGAGGCGGAGGAGGACGATGAGGTGGATGAGAAGGATGAGGAGACGGAGGAGGAGGATCAGGAGGAGGAGGAGGACAAGGAGGAGGATGAGGAAGACCAGTGGCAACCCAAGAGTCATCAACGATGTTGGAATTACCCCTCCCTTCAAGCTCCCTCTTCATAGGCCCCTACAATGGTTCATGTGCATTGAGGGAACTGCCTCGTTGGAAGGCAAGAGTTTGAATATCCTGAAGCGTGTCAAAACATTGTTCTCGGGATTTCAACGCCACGTATCAAACTGACTGCTGCGTCTTGACGATCCAGAATTGTGCCAGAACGCCACTTTTCGGACTTCAACACAGCGGATCAACATAACTGTTGCCTTCCAAAACACCATTTCTGATACGTTGATCATAGGCACCCGTGAAACTCTTCCAACTTTGAAGAACGAATGTGCGCGGCGCTGGGGCGAGAGCCACATTTTGAGAAGGAACCGCCCTCAATCCGTGAAGCCCTTGTTTTTTTTGAAACCGAATGTGCGCTGCGCTGAGGCGAGAGCCACGTTTTGAAAACCACCCGCCCTCAATACGTGAAGCTCTTGCAAATGTTGAGAAAGAATGTGCGCGGCGTTAAGGTGAGAACCACATTTTGAAAACCACCCGCCCTCAATCCGTGCAGCTCTTGCAACCTTTAAAGACGAATGCTCGTGGCGCTAAGGTGAGAGCCACATTTTGAAAACCACCCGCCCTCAATCCGTGAAGCTCTTGCATCTTTTAGTAACGAAAGTGCGCGGTGCTAAGATAGCGGTAGCCACATTTTGAAAACGACTCGCCCTCCATTTGTGAAGCTCTTGCCACTTTTCAGCTTCAGAGAAATGGTGAGGGAGTCTCAGGCGAAACGCCTGGCCCGCCCTAAAAACTGGCCCCGGGGTGCGACAGGGAGGAGTTATCCATAAGGAGAAGGAATGGAGGATGAGGAAGAGAAGGATGAGGACCAGTGTAAAACCAAGAGTCATCAACGATGTTGAAATTAACCCTCCTTCCAAGCTCCCTCTTCATGGGCCCCCACAACGGTTCATTTCCATTGAGGGAACTGCCTTGTTGGAAGACAAGAGTTTGAAGATTCTGAAGCATGCCAAAACATCGCTCTCGGGATTTCAACGCCACGTATGAACCTGACTGCTGCGTCTTGACGATCCGGAGTCGTGCCAGAACGCCACGTGTGGGACTACAACACAGCGAACCGACATATTTGTTGCACCCGCATAATCTTGAATCCGTCCGAAACAGAATTTCTGGTACGCTGATCATGCGCATCCGTGAGAATCATGCAAATTTTGAAAACGCATGTGCGCGGTGCTGAGGCGAGAGCCGCATTTTGAAAAAGACCCGCCCTCAATCCGTGAAGCTCTTGCAAATGTTAAAAACGAATGTGCGCGGCGCTGGGGCGAGAGCCACATTTTGAGAAGGAACCGCGCTCAATCCGTGAATCTCTTGCAATTCTTGAAAACGAATGTGCGCGGCGCTAAGGCGAGAGCCACATGTTGAAAACCACGGAGGAGGAGTAGGCGGAGGAGGAGGCGGAGGAGGAAGAGGAGGAGGGGGAGGAGCAGGAGGAAAGGGAGAAGGGGTAGTAGGAGTAGGAGTAGGAACCGATGGCAATGCCAATCCCGACCGATTCTACCCCCGACCTCGCTGGGCCAGTTCGGCCTTGCTGAGGACCTTCGGGGGTAGCCCATCACTAATTCTCTTGAGATATTGACGTCCCGTGGGGGTGGGGATGCCCGAACAGGGCTTGTGAAAGAGGATGAGGAAGAGGAGGAGGAGGGGGAGCATGAGGAGAAGGGGGCGGAAGAGGAGGAGGATGAGGATGAGGAGGAGGACGAGGATGATGATGAGGAGGAGGAGCAGGAGGAGGAGGAGGAGGAGGGAGGAGGAGGAGGATGAGGACGGGTATGCTGATGATAGCCGATGATTCTGATGGTAGGGAGGAGGAGGAGGAGGACGAGGGGGGGGAAGAGGATAAGGGAAGGATAAGAGAAATATGAGGAGTATGAGGAAGGAGGAGGTAGGAAGAGGAGAAGGAGGAGGAGGAGGAGGAGGAGGATGAGGAGGAGGAGGAGAAGGAGAAGGATAAGGAGGAGGAGGAGGATGAGGAGGAGGAGGAGTAGGCGGAGGAGGAGGAGGGATGAGGAGGAGGAAGAGGAGGATGATGAGGAGGAAACGTTGGATGATGATGCTGCTGATGATGGGGATGATGATGATCATGATGATGCTGATGATGCTGCTGATGATGACGATGCTGATGATGATTCTGCTGATGATGATGCTGATGATGATGATGCTGCTGATTATGATAATGTTGAGGATGATGACGATGATGATGCTGTTGATGCTGATGCCGATGATGATGCTGATGATGCTGATGATGATGCTGAAGAGGAGGAGGATGCAGAGGAGGATGAGGAGGAAGAGGTGTTGATTATGATAACGATAATGTTGATGATGATGCTGATGATGATGATGCTGATGATGCTGATGCTGATGATGACGATGCTGATTATGCTGATGATGCTCATGATACTGCTGATGACGATGATGATGCTGATGCTGCTGCTGATGATGACGATGCTGATGCTGATGCTGACGATGCTGATACTGATGATGATGATGCTGATGACGATGCCGATGATGACGATGCTGCTGTTGCTGATGATGCGAATGCGTATGACGATGCTGCTGATGATGCTGATGATGCTGATGATGGTGCTGCTGCTGATTATGATGATGATGTTGATGCTGCTGATGATGATGAGTATGATGAGGATGACAGTCATGACGATGCTGATGATAATGTTGATGATGGTGATGAGGATGATGATGATGCTGATGATGCGGCTGCTGCTGCTGATTATGATGCTGATGATGATGCTGCTGCTGATGCTGACGTTGACGATGCTGCTGATGATGACGATGATGATGCTGCTGCTGATGATGATGATGACGTTGATGCTGCTGATGATGCTGATGATGCTGCTGATGCTGATGATGCTGATGATGATGATGCTGATGATGAGGACGCTGATGTTGATGATGTTGATGATGGTGATGCTGATGCTGCTGATGCTGCTGCTGATGATGACTGTGATGATGATGCTGATGATGATGATGATGATCACGATGCTGATGCTGATGGTGGTGAGGATGCTCATGCTGATGATGATGATGATGCTGATGCTGATGATGATGCGGCTGATGATACTGATGATGATGATGCTGATGCTGCTGATGATGCTGCTGATGATGATGATGACGATGCCGACGATGATGATGCTGCTGCTGATGATGCTGATTCTGCTGCTGCTGCTGATGATGATGCTGATGCTGATGCTGCTGATGATGATGATGCTGATGCTGATGCTGCTGATGATGCTGATACTGATGATGGTGAGTATGCTGATGATGATGATGATGATGCTGCTGATGCTGATGGTGATGATGATGCTGCTGCTGATGATGATGATGATGATGCTGATTATGATGATGATGATGATGCTGACGATTATCTTGCTGCTGCTGACGCTGATGATGATGATGATGATTCTGATGATGCTGATTATGATGATGATGATGATGATGATGCTGATGATGATGACGATGATGATGCTGATGATGATGATGATGCTGATGATGATGCTGATGATGATGCTGCTGCTGATGATGCTGATGATGACGATGATGATGATGATGATGATGATGCTGATGCTGCTGATGATGATTATGATGTTCATGATGCTGATGATGCTGATGATGATGATGATGATGATGATGACGATGATGCTGATGACGATGATGATGATGATGATGATGATGATGATGATGATGCTGACGATGATGATGACGCTGATGATGATGATGATGTTGATGATGATGATGATGATGATGATGATGCTGATGCTGATGCTGAGTCTGATGATGATGCTGATGATGCTGATGGTGATGATGCATTATGATGATGCTGATGCTGATGCTGATGATGATTATGATTTATGATAGATGATGATGAATGATGAATGAGATGATGATGATGATGATGATGATGATAATGATGATGAAGATGGTGTTGATGATGATGACGGTGATGATGATATTGTTGATGATGATGATGATGATGATGATGATGATGATGATGATGATGATGATGATGATGATGATGATGATGATGATGAT